ATATTCTTTATCAAAAAAATTATTTCATTTAATAGGCCGTTATTTACAATATTTATATAATTATTCTTACTTTGCCACTTGCTGGTTTACAAATATAGGTACTCGCCATCTATCGATGAAGGCTCTCATCTAAAATACTACTATTAAACTAGCATTATCGAGTTTGAAGTGGTTAAAAACTGGATTTTTCGTAGTTTCGATTTGACTGAAAGTTTCGATTAAGTGCATCATACTCGCTTTTTATCATTTTATATTATTATCCAAATGAGAATTTTATATCATTATTTTGAATCATTTAAAAAAAAAGAGCAATCTTTTGTTTTGATGAATTTGAAATTTGCTTATTGGGATTGTAGAATCAAAATTAAAAGTGTTTTAAAAGCTCGCTCTATTTCTATTTCAATTCATGACTTTAATTCGATCAACACCTTCGATTCGATTCGATCCGGAAGTCATTTAAATGCAAATAAACACTTTGCAGAGTATAGTATCTACTTATTTTGCGCGCTCGACCGAACACCTGTTTACGGTCATTTAAAAAGTCTCGACGCGTTTATTATTATTATTCTTTTTTTTCGTTAATACATTAATTTACGAGTTATGGTTATATACGTCGTAAAAAAGGAGCTGCTGCTGCTGCAGCCGCGAGCTTTAACGACAAACATCTCTCTCGCTCTCTTACCGCTGCCGAGCTGCCTGTTATGGTAATGATGATGGCCCAGCCTCTCGTCCATTACAAATTCAAGCACTCCGTTCTCGGTGGACAGCGTCGGGCCGACTCTCATCTGCAGGCCCGGATAGATGTAACCCAGATCCCACTTGACGTTGCGACGCTCGAGCATCCTCGAGGCGGCGCGCAGCACGTTGCCGAAGTCCTTGGGGTCCCAGTCGAGATCGAGCAAATTCGCCGCTCTGCCCTCACCCTGGTTCTCGGCTTTGAGCAATTGGACGTTGCCGAAGTCAAGGCACTGGTCGTCGTTCCAGGACTCGATGGCCGTCAGGGCGCCCCGATTCAGGCACTCGAGGGTGCTGTGCTGGCGCTTCGAGAAGCAGACCTGCAGCGCGTCGTTGAACGTGTGCGGCTGTTTCTGTTGCTGCTGATGATGATCCTGATCGATGATCGGCGGCAGAGGCGGCTCCACTGATTGCGAGGAGGTTTGCGACGGCTCTTGGCGCGAGTCCGCCGCCGCCTTGGCTTGATTGGGATCGAGCATGACGGTGAGGGCCGTCGAGCCCAGCAGCAGCATGTTCGAGTACAGTCGCAGTAAACTCAGCATCTCGAATTCTTTGGCATATGATTATTTGGTATCGATGATTTGGAACGAATTTTATACGTTATCGTTCACATCCTATATAAACGGATCCATTCGGCCATTGTACTAAACGATCCACGAAACGGGGTCCTCTGGGCCCATTCGATTGCCAAACACGTAGAGGACACTTTCGTTGCAATTTCACTTGTTACACCCGGTGTCGCGTGTTTCACTTTCGTTTTGACTCGAAGACTCGACGAAAAATATATTATGTGTGTATAATCGAGCACCCACGTCACGTGAGACACACACACACATTTACGTACGACCCGAGGAAGATCCCGAGACTGACTGCTGTACCCCGATGGGATTCCACCTAACTATATAGACTTTCGCACGCACACTTAGGGCGTCGGTGGAAAATATAACGATACAATCGGTTTCACTCGGGAAGATTGGCCTAGGCCTGATGCGTGTATTAGCTGCTGCGAGGCGAAAGTGACTACGACTACGGCTTCTTTTGTCTCGGGCGCATCGGGCGGATGATCCTCTCTGCGTACCGTGGAGTGCGTATATATACATGAAACACGCCGCACGGCAAAAGTTACGGCGGATGCACAAGTCTTGCCTTGGATATTGCACTTGGGCCAGCTGTAAACGAAGCAGCAACAAACAAAAAAAGTGGACGTATCAAGGAAAGCTGAATTGTTCGTCGAGTTTGATACGCGCGCCGCGTCAGTGACACACACACACACACAGGAGGAGAAAGAGGAGGAAGGAGAGATTTTATTATATTTCACTTCGCGAGCTTATTGTTAGGTGAATTTTTCAAACTTAAAGTAGAAAATGCATTTTAGGAGTTTTGATTTTTACAACGACGATGCGCGCGGTCGAGGTAAATATTTTGGAAAGTTTGTGCGGTTTCGACTCCTTTATTTATTTTTTTTTAAGTGTTATCATCGATGCTCGCTCGTACACATACATTGCCCGCTGCTGCTTCTGCTGCTCTTTGCGAAACAGTAAACCGAAAGAAAGAAAAGAGAAAAAAAAAGAACAAGAAACATTCACATTGCTGCTGCTGCTGCTCGTTTATACCCACACGACATAAAAAGCAAAGTGAATGCTCGCGCACATATAAATGTACGCACGTCGCGCGGAATACTTTTTCCGTTTTCTGGTGTATGTAATGTAAGGCCTGTCTCGTGTAATACACACACGTAGTACGCTACTTTCATCTCGAGCATTTTGAGCGTTTTGCGACCCCGAAAAAAAATCATCATCGTCCGTCGTCGTTGGACATCGTTCTGCGGTTTGACGCTTCGATCCTCTTACATTATATGCACGATGTGTACGAAGGCACACGAGATATAATAATTGTTATTGCCGCGCGACGCTATATGCGAATGGAAGCTGGAAATTACGCACGCTCGATTGGAAAAATTTTTGCAAATTATCATATTTTCGCGCGCGGGCAAGACTGGCATCGTTAATTCAAAGTGAAAGTACACAACGCAACTACAATGCGAGCTGCGCGCGAGCGATGAGAAAGTATAACCGTAATATGTGCGTCATTGCACCCCCCGTTGGCGCGGTACACATTTTATATTTTATATCGACGGTATCCGATGTTGTTGTTTTTTTTTTGCGCTCCCGCGATATGTCCTGAATAAAATGTCCCGTCATTGGCACATATATTTCACGCGTTAGATCGTACGAGTGTTTTTAAAATCATCGAGATTTTTTTTTTCTTTCTCGCGAGCAGTTACACACGTTCTCATCTGAGTCTGTATGTATAAGTCAATTAGCGAAGCCTGCGCGAAAGCCCCGCCTCATTGTTCGCCGGCCGATATTTTTATTAACCCATAAAACTTTTACTTCTGACTCTTTTCTCTTTAACAGTTCGTATCAATGTACAATAAGGTGGATTGGGTGGTATTAATAGCAAAGTCGTTATTTAATAATACAACATTAAGATTTATTTAATAAATAAGTTACAATAAATCGAGCCGCTGCTCGCTCGCTTGGCGGCAAGCTCTCGGCTCGAACATGTAGTGTTTTTTCTTTTTTGCTTTACTTTTATAATAATATAATATAAAATAATCATTGGACAAAAATGATCTCTTTGTGGCGCGATATACAATGGACGAGTGATTGCTGACTGGTTTTGGGGGGGAGGGTCGAGTCCTCCGGTGCGGGGCAACGACGTGTTCCTGTAAAACGAGGAGCACTCGCGTTTTGATCCGCACACAGCAGATAGAGGACTCAGGCCCCTGTGTGTTGCGGGGGGAGCAGTTTCGATGAGAGAGAGACAGACGATGATTTTTTTCCATTTTTTTTTATTTTTACAAAAAAATCACACGCGTGACCACACCACCGTCGTCGGTCTGCAGTCTCGATATATATTCTCACTTTCTCACTCTTGGGAAGGTGGAGAAGATAAAACAATGAAAAACGAAAGAAGAAAGAGAGAAGAGGAGTTTTGCGCGAAGTGCAAGAGATTTAAAGGGGGTTGTGGGGTGGTAGTCTGTCTGCAGTGTCACTGAGTCCGAGTCACTTCTGTCGCGTCGATTGGCCGTCTTTGGATGCGAATTTGATATGCCACTGTTTGGCCTCGGCGTCGAAGCTCGCGGCGACGATCCCCCGCTCAACAATGAAACAACGTCGAGGGTACAGTCGTCGCGGAATCGGCCGAAGCTATCGAAAGCGATGTCAAATCGTTTCCCGTTTTTTTTTTTTTTTTTTTTGAAATTTTCATAACAAAAACGTCGTTACGGTCGAGTGTCCGTGTCGAGGGGAAGATAATAATAACAACAACAACAATTGCGCGTGTGGTTGCGGTAACAGTGGCAACGACAACGCATTAATACAATGTATAACAATTACGATGATGCGATTTTGATGAAGACGAAGAGAAAAGACGAAGATAAAGAAGAAGAATAAGATGAGAGGCTCAAAATCGCATCGCGTCACCGGTCATGTGTGTCTCTTTGGCAGTCGAGTGTCGAGTTTATAAAATAAGTTAATATTCGTCAAGAAACGTCGTCGTCGTCGTCATCGTCCTTGTCTCTCTCGAGTCGCTGGGAGAATCACAAAGGATGAGGAGGAACAGGCGGTGCTTAGTGAAGAAGAAGAAGACGTATGGAAGAAGAATTAGAAGTAGAGTTGAGCTTGAGCTTTTTTTTTTCTTTTTGACCGCGAGACTCGGCGGGCGGGGTGGATCACGAGAGCTGCTTGCTGCAATCGTGTGCTTGGCTTTTTACTAATAATATAATAATAATTAAGTTTGCGTGGAATCATGTGGACGATGAGAGACAACAATTATTAAAATTACGAACGCCATTGATGAGATATTCGGGGTGTGAAATGAACCCGCGAATATATTTTTGGATGAAGATGATGAAGATGATGCGTGTGGATGATCTGATGTGGTCGATGAAGAGAATGTCTCGACCCTTTACACAGACGCGCACGCGCACACGCACCGATACACGACACGCACGCACGTCAACGCGCATAAATGAGAAAAAATTGCGTCTTATGCGAGCTCGCGTGCGTGCGTTAATTTTTTTTTTCTTTTTTTCGTCGGGGGTCGTGCGTGCGCGCGTGTCGCGAGAGAGATAGAGAGCAGAGCAGAGATGAAGAGTTTTTTAAAAAAAAAAAGTCATAACAACGAAGCAACGAGGTTTAGAGGGAGGATGATCGTGTGCGCGCTGCCTTCGATTCGAAGAAATCAGCTCGTTATCCGTCTTAGGCGCTCGTTGGCTTGTGGGCGGCGTAGGCCATCTCGAGGGATCGGGCCCAGCCGCCGCCGTGATGCTCCTCGTGATGGTGTGGGATCTCGTGGCTGACCACTTCGTAGCTCTGGTGCTTGTTGCCGAAGAGTTTCTGGAGCAGCAGAACGGCGGAGATGATGAGGGCGACCTTGCCGATGATCAGGGCTTTGAAGGCGAGCAGGGCCAGACCACCGAGGAGGATGGGGATGAGAGCGGCGGCCTTGAGCTTCAGCAGGAGGAGGATAGGCAGCAGAGATTTGACGATCTTCTTCTTTTTGCCGCGGGCTGTGTGGAAGAAACAAATATGCAATTGCGACGTTTAGTTACGTTTCTTTTTTTTTTAATTCTGAAAATAAAAGAGAAAATTGAAATGATCCCTCACCTTCTCCGAGGGAGCGGGAGAGCTCCTCGGGCATGGACAGCTCGACGGTGTGGGTCGAGAGGAAGCGGGCCGCGCGATCGTAGAGGACGTCGTTGACGGCGCTCTCGCGGGCCTCGAGCTCGGTGGGCAGGCTAGCCTCGATGTCGTTCAGCGACCTGGCGTTGTCGGCGCGGCTGCAAAAATCATAAAATCGCAAAATAAATAACGATGAACAAAAAAAAAAAAACACGATTTAGCTCCTTCGACGAGCTTTTTTGCAACGAGATCGGTTTCGATTCGGAAGGAAACGTATCCTTTACAGCGCAGCGATCGGCGGCTGCAGGCTGCAGCACAGCGGCAGTGCCGTAACGGGAGTGTACTTTCGCTTCGCGAGCCGATGCCGCCGCCGCTACCACTGCTGCTGCTGTTGCTTAGATAACTCTCGCGTCTACGTATATATCTATGTATACGATTTCAACCGATCGAAAGGAAAAGGACTCGTGCTCGTGTGCTCGTATTCTCACCTGTTGGCCTTGGCTTCCTCGCTCTGGACGATTTTCACACCGTCGACCACGTTGATCTCCGCGGATCTCGCGGCCCTGTCGACGAATCTCAACGCCTTCAGCTTGAGGCACGTCGCGATGTCCGAGTCGCTCGAGCACGAGCTGTAGACGTCGTAGGCCTGCTCCAGAAGACTGCCCTGTGGCTGCTGTACCGGCTCCTGTTGCAACGGTTGGCCGAGGCAGCAGCTGCTCAAGGCGACGACGCAGACGATCAAGGCGATTTTCATCATTTTGATTGTGTTGTGTGTGTTTGTTGTGAACAATTGTTAAACTGATACACTATTTTTATTTATATATAGCACCCAAACTGTCGTTGGCTTGCTACTTCTTTTTTCTTCTTTTCTTTGAGCACGACGAGCGATGCTACGATGTCCGTCTCACGATTGAGTCTCTTTTCTTCGCAAAAACAAAAAAAAGAACTTCTTCCTTCTTCTTCTTCTTCTGCGGGGGCTTACGATAACGACGACGATCGGATCGACACTGACGAAAAGAATCGGGAACCTGGCTTTTATGCTGATGCCCGATCGGGGACCGGCCGTACGTTTTTGAAATTTTTGATGGCCCCCACCACGGTGACCCTTTGCCGTGTGTGCTTGCCGTATACCGCAAAAGCAGGCAAGCAGAGGAGGTGCACTTGTGAATAGCGGGCCCACCGAGCCAAGTCACGATGTGCTGCCGTTCGTCTTTGCCTCTCTTTCTTTCTTTCATTCTTTCGGGGCGCGTACGTGTGTATTTTGTGTCCGTGTGTGTGTCCGTTGGTCACTCGGCTCATCGGGCCGCGGTTCGTCGCCTTGCACAAACATACACACATGTATACACAATACATAATTCCTCTCCCTGTGTGTGCACAAGACTCGTTTCTTTCCTTCTCTTTCTAGGCTTTCTCCGCCGGTGTGTCCGACGACGACCGCCGAAGGGGTCCTCTTCTCCTTACTTTTCACCTTCTTTCACCTCCCATGATACGGCATCCTCTCTGCCCACCTCCTTTTTTTTGTTTTTTTTTGTTTTTTTTATCTATATCATATCGATGCGGATAATCGCGATGACGTACGTACGCCAATAATGCGTGTGCGTGTATGATGCAGAAAAGAAAAGTTTCGATCGTTTTCTCAAATTACTCGAATTATATTTAAAAATAGCCGTGAGACCCAATATCATAATTTTTAATCCGAAATTACAGCAAACAATAGCCAATATTATAGATCGTTGCGTTGTTTTCTTGTGATAAATGCAAATTTTTGAAATTTCGAGCACAGAAAAATGTGGTCGCCTTTTACACACGTGCGTGAAATTTAAACGGCTCGGTATTTCTCATTTGACTCTGCAAGTGTAAATTTATGCACTATCTGCGCGAGCTCGGGCTTCGCTTTTACTTACCGCCTTCTCCTTCTCTCTTTCTCTCGCACGATACAAGCGGGTGTGAGCTCGGCAAATTTCATTCATCGGCTTTGCGGATTAGTCCGTGCGTGCGATTTATCGATTATCGAATTAAAGAAAAAAAAATTATATCTGCCCGGCTGTTGTCTGTCCGAGCGGTGAAGACAATGGGCATCAATTTTTTTCTCGCTCTCTTCCATAATTGTACCGTAACTTTCTATCTGGAATAAAATTTAAAAATCAGACACTCATGTACAAAAGAAATTAAACACCGTTAAGTGCGTAAGCTGGTTAATGCTTCAATAACAATTGGAATTTAACACGAGACATATTCGAGAGAGAGAAATAAATCGGTTACACAGATGAGCGCATTTTTGGCTCGAAAGAATCTGTGTCGAGACGATCGTCTTTTTTTTAAGGAGAGAGACATGAAAATATGCGAATAAACATGTACTGGCATGTCATTGACAACAGCGTATAGAAATTTTTCTTTCATGCGTAATTTTATTCATAAGATGCTGTAAAATTGTTACTGTATCGTTGAAACTAGAAAATTAATATAATTTTTCCCGGGAAAAAAATGAAAATTGTTTTTCAATCCCATCAAATTTACTCGATATTATGTCATTGAAATTAAAGCTCGTGTCATTTTTGAATATTTTAATTTCATATAAACCTCAATTTGCATATAATAACGTCGGCTGAGAGCGTTAAATTGATGAAATCATACACGTCTGATCGTAAAAAATTGATATCCAAATGTAGGCTTGTGTCACGGAAAGAAGTGTAGGATTTTTAAACGGTACTTGCAAAAAGGCCAGCTCGGTGCTTGGGAACATTTTTAAATCTCATCTCGGACGTATCCCTAAAATTTTTCACCGTGTTTTTTTATCCATCAACTGAATTGTTTTAATCTACTCTTACGGCCAATTACTCTGCTAAAAATATAATGCGCCAAAATACAAGTGTAAATATTCTTAGTAGGTATGCTCAATATTTTTCGGCTAATTCTAGGCAAAAAAAAATTTCTTGGAAATAAAGGGGTCATTAGAAATGGATATGTACCAACTATCGAAAATAGTAATTATATTAAATTCTTTCAAAACCTCGCTTTGATTTATGCAATTATTTTTACTTTTTCACTTGCAGATTTACAGATAAGGGTACTCGCCATATAGTGGTAGAGGCTTGAAGCTGTTTAATGATATCCAAAGTGATTTAAAGCTTTGTTAAATTTTTTTTAGACAGTTTATAGCGGACAGATACCAAGTATATTTTGAAATGTTACGGCTCTTTTGAGCCGCAGTTTTATTTTTTTTGCTGGTAATAATCAGTGAGGAGGGATCTCGTTCAGCGATCTTTTTGAATTTAATTGACAATTTTCAAAAACCGTGCTTTGACTTATACACATATTTTTACTTTCCCACTTGCAGGTATATTAATTATAATAATCGCCATCTAGTGGCAGGAGACTAAAACTAATATTATCGTATTTGAAGTGGTTAAACTCTGGTCTAAATTTTCAAAACAATTGAATTGTCATATTCAGTTCATATGAAATGTGCTTCATATTTTTAACATAATTTTAATAGAAACATTGCTAACAGTAAATCAATTAATATTTAATATATTTAAAGAAAAATTTTAAATGATCATTTTTAGTTACATGTCATTATCAATTAGTTTATGGCTCAGTCAGAATTGAATACTTGGACACTTTTCAATCAAAAGTTGTAGTTTCCAGAAACATTCGCTCGAAACCTCGAACCTTTAATCGTACAGCAATACAGCGGAGGGTCGTTCGAAGTACCGATATTATACTCCCAGGTTATGGCGCGTACGATTTAAGTGGGTCAAATAATAATTTTGAAAATATTCATAATTCATCAGAGCTGCAACGAATAATTTTGTTAATCGTGGATCATCGATGGGCCAACTTCGACGCGAGGTTGTAGTACACGCCGGCGTGTCCGCCTTCCGCTGGGCAAAAACGTTATTTATATGAAAGTGTTTTCTGCTCTTGCGTACCGCGTGCTGTACTTCATCAGTCGTAACTTGTTTCTATAACCATAAAAATTAAAGTGATGCGCGTGGGGCTGCACACACACACACACACACACACGCGCGCGAATTATCCACGTCGCGAATTTTACGACGCTTGTTACTTCAAATTTTCGACTCTCTTTGCATACACACAAGATTTAGCTGTATTTTTATTGAGTTATCGGCGTGTGAATAAATGGTGTACTTCTTTTATGAATCTGCCAAATGAAATCTGATACTTTATGGCTATTGTATCGGCTCTCGTTTCATTATTATTATTATTACTTTTTTCCTTTAAATTAAACACGCGCGATCCTAACGGCACACATGAAATTCAAACAAATGAAAAAGAAGAAGAAGAAGAAGTTTCTTTTCCTTGGCTTGCTCGACACACGGGCATGAATAATAGTGCCATGTTTGACATTTCTAATGCCAAGTGAGTTAAGAGAACGAGCGGCATGCGGCAGCAGCAGCAGCAGCGAGCCAAGAGCCAAGAATCCGCGATTCGGCATTGACCTACAAATTATTTGAACGAAGTAAGTGCACAATTTTCATGCACAGAGTCGTCGTCGTCGCCGCAACGCAACGCGGGCAGAGTGTTTGACTAGCATTAACAAGCCGCGTGTCGAGAGCGAGCCAAGAAAATTATTTTTCATTTCCATGCGCCAGGCATGCTTCCAATATGTGATTGTATTTTTCGCGGGCGATCGTCTACCGAGAGGACGTAAAATCCTGAAAGAAGATCATAATCTGCAAAGTTCATTTACACCCGTAGCGAAAGTTTCGATGTAGAAGAAAATAGGATAAGTCGCGCGGAGAGTTTTTGAAAAATATGCACGCGTCTGGAACGAAGCACACTGGTGACACAGTTTTTAAGCGTTGGGTGTACAAGCGACAAAGATTAGCGAAAAGCAGAGCAAAACTCACTTAATTATTTTTTCGCAGCGAGCGAGACAAAAATTAAACGGAGAGAAATTGAAAGCCTTTTTTTCCTGAATGGCCAATTATATTTGCAAAGAAACGTCCACAGCCGGACGGTATCTGTAACCTGTCTGCGACGCGCGGACAATAAGGTACGTTTTACTGGCTCTTTGAAAATGAAATAGAAAAAGGAGTCGTGATAAGATCTCTACGATGAAGGACTGTGTCGAGCTCTATTTTCGACGCATTGCAGAAAAACAATGTACTGAAGTGGGAAAAATATTTATTTTAAATGAACGGATTGGAATAAATGACCTATGGTAATTTGCTTTGTGATAAGCTGATTATCTCGATACCAGATAACTGAATTTTTTACGTAGATTATCAATTGGTTTTCGAGCATTAAAAAAAAACCGGTCTCGTCTGAACAGTACATATTAGGGAACGAGGATGGGAGGTCATCTATTTTGTTCGAGTATCGAATTTACAGCCTAAATAAAATGAACTGATCCGACTTAATAGTATTCCAGTGATCAATAAAATACTCATTAAATTGTTTCAAAATACAATGTCATTAAATGACTTATTTTCGATAATGTCATAGTTTCAAAAAATTTAGACCAATTTTCAACCGCTTCAATGCGATAATACAACTATACTTCATGGCTCTACCGCTAGATGGCGAGTACTTTCATCTGTAAATCTGCAAGTGACAAAGTAAAAATGATTGTATAAGTTAAGCATGGTATTTAAAATGGGCCACGACAGGTGAAATGAAGTTTGACAAACTTCTATTTCATAAAAATTTCAAAACTCAACGAATCAAATTTTACTCATTTAAGAACGAAACCAAGCTACGATCCAGCCTATAATAATACAGATATCATAC